TTGCCTCCGGACCCTGCGCCCCCAGACCCTGGGAGGGGAAGTGCCCGGCCGGGGACACAGGGTCCAGAGGCATGGGGGCTGCCCGAAGCCGGTAGTGCTCGGGCAGCTCGGCTCTTACAGAGCCCAGGAATCAGGGAGCACAGCAGCCCCTGGCGCCCGCTCTAAGGTAAGCCAGGGAGTATTTTTCCTGGACATGTTCGGCTTTTTGGAAATTCCCCCCGGACAGGGGTTTGATAACCAAAAAGCCAGACATGTCCGGGAAAAACTGGACGTATGGTAACCCTACCATTACTGTTGATTTTCAATACATCTTGGGGCACTGGGGAAGTTCCAGAAAACTGGAAGAAAGCTAATGTAATGCCAGTTTTTAAAAAAAGTAAATGGGATGACCTGGGTAATTATAGGCCTGTCAGCCTGACATTGATGCTTGGCAAGATAATGGAGCTGCTGATATGGGGAGTTGATTAATAAAGAATTAAAGAATGATAATGTAATTAATGCAAATTAATATGGGTTTATGGAAAATAGATCCGGTCAAATAAACGTGATATATTTTTTAATGAGATTGCCAGTTTGTCTGATAAAGATAATAGTGTTAACGTAATAGACTTAGACTTCTCTAAAGCGTTTGGTTTGGTACCACAACGACATTTTGATTAAAATACTAGAACGATGTAAAATGTACATGGCACACATTACATGGAATAAAACTTGGCTAACTGATAGGTCTCAAATGTAATTGTAAATGGGGAATCGTCAGCAAGTGGGGGTGGGGGCTGTGGTGGATAATCCTCCCAGGATAACTCTGTGGCCAAAAGAGCTAATGTGATCCTGGGAGCCATAAACAGGGGAATCTCAAGTAGGAACCGAGAAATTATTTTGCCTCTCTGTTTGGCACCGGTACAGCCGCTGCTGGAATCCTGTGTCCAGTTCTGATGCCCACAATTCAAGAAGGATATTGATAAATTTGAGAGGGTTCAGAGCAGGGCCACAAGAATGGTAAAAGGATTAGAATCCTGCCTTAGAATGGTAGGAGCTCAATCTATGTAACTTAGCAAAAAGAAGGTTAAGGGGTGACTTGATCACAGTCTATAAAGATCGACACATATTTAAAAATAGGCTCTTCAGTGTCACAGAGAACGGTCTCACAGTATCCAATGGCTGGAAGTTGAAGCTAGACAAACAGATCGGAAATAAGGCGTACATTTTAACAGTGGGGGGTAATTAAGCTTGGGCCAGTTTACCCAGGGTTGTGGTGGATTCCCCATCGCTGACACTTTTAAAATCAAGATTGGATGTTTTTCTAAAAGATCTGCTCTAGGCATTTGTTATACAGGTCAGACTAGATGATCACACTGGTCCCTTTGGGCCTTAGAATCTATGTATGAAAGATGAAGTCAGCGGTGGGCTGCACTAGCTCTGTGGCTGGCGCACAGCCCAGCTCAGCTACGTATTTCTCCTGCCATTAAGACTTAAAATTGGATTCGGGTGCAAAGAAGCCCTGAGGCCCAGTGCGGGTGGTGTTATCCCCTCTGATAGCTGCTGTCTTTGCAGTAGCTGCATTCTGGATGCAGGCTGGTTCTTGTGGGCTGTTCTAGCCCTTCCCTAGCACGTAGTCAGTATCATGTGGGTGCTGGTCCATATACTACGAATAGAGACCAATTCCATGTGTGTGTTCATCCTGGTTCTTTCTTCTAGGCCCTCTCTTCTGTGGATTCAGTGATGATGATGTACCCATTCTTCTACAGACCCCAAAGCATGAAGCTCAAGGATGGATGGCAGCTTTACCCCCTCCAACATTACTACCAACAAATCGCCTCAGAGGTGGGTATGGAGGGGCAGAAACCTTTTCAATGAGAGATCAGTGTGGCAGGGGGTGGGAGAGAGAGATCACTCCAGAAATGTCCTTCAAGACGGGGTGGGGGATTGAGCAACTCCATACACAACACATAGGGCACGGTCCAGAACGGCGTATCGGTAAGAAAGTGCCAACCATACCGGCACTGATAGGGGGTGGGGGGGCAAAAGGGGCAGATGCCCCAGGGCTCCGGCGGTGATTTAAAGGGCCCACAGTGGCCAGGAGCCCTGGGGCTCTGGTGGTGATTTAAAGGGCCCGGGGCTCCTGTTGCCTACCGCGCCAGCGCCTGGAGCTCCGGGCGGTGCGGCCCAGGCAGCGCTGAAGGGCTGGCTGGGGGATTTTGGCCCAAGGCCCCGCCCCTTCTGGGGGCCCAGAGCCGCCCCCCCCAAAACCTTGCCCAGGACCCCGGCTACCCTGCATACCAGTAAGTCATTTAAGTTACTTTCACCCCTGCCTACGGGAGATGAATTGGTGAGTGTCACTCCAGCCCCAAATGGGACAGAAGTCCACATCAGAAAACCCACCCTCCACCACAGGCCCCCTCGCTGACCGTCTTAGCAGAGAGGGCAAGGACTAGCTGAGCCGTGCAGATAGCTGCTGTAGAGGTGGGCCCTCCAGGGTAGCGTAAAATATCCATCTGGGAGAGACGCCCCCCCCCCCACCCACTCTGTCCCCCTGGGGTGAAAGCTGTAGGAATCAGAGCCTGAAACTTCTGTATTTCCCAGACAAGTGCTTGGAGGCTGAGCTGTGTTAACGGGGATTTCACCATCTGCTCCAGTTACCCACTAGCTGTAATTGTACCAGCCACAGTGGACGATAATGTCTTGAAGAAGGCCGCCCGGTTCCGCCAGGGGGGACGATTCCCTGTCCTCAGCTACTATCACAAGAAGAATGGGACGGTGAGTCTGTTTCCCTTTTAGTTTCTTGCTCCCCTCCCAGCTCTTCCTCTCAGAGGGTGAATGAGAGCGGGAAAGCTTCTGCAGATCAGAGCTTCCCCTGTGTATCTGCCACCAATAGCACTATAATCAGATACGACCTCTCTGAGGATCCCAAAGCACTTCACCAACAAAGTGAGCCACTTCTGGGGTGAGGCACTGCAGCTGTTGAACAGCTCACAGCAACACTGCACAGCTGTTTGGTACAGGAAGTAACAAAGAACACTGTCTCCAACAAACTGCAAGGGGAAATGAAAGAGCCAGAAGAGAACCACTGAATCTAAGCTGGAACCGAGCCAGGACTCTGAGAGCAGCTGGGTTTGCCCTCAGAGGTCTCCTAACCAAATACTAAACAAGCCAAAGCCTGCTTAGCTTAAGGTCTGTTTGCAGCAGTGCACGAGGGGAGGAAAGACGACCTTACTCCTCTGCCCTGCAGGTGATGCTCCGTAGCAGCCAGCCACTGATAGGGCCCAACAGGAAGCGCTGCCAAGAGGATGAACTGCTGCTCAGCGCCGTCCTGGATGGAGGGGAGCGTGGCTTCATCATCGACACCCGCTCAGCTCAGGCAGCCAAGCAGGCTCGGGTGATGGGGGGCGGCACGGAGCCCAAATCCTCCTATCCCCACTGGAAGAGGCTGCACAGGCCACTGGAGAGGTAAGCGCAGCAGCTCTCTCTAAGCCCCCCGCATGGAGGCTGGTGGCGTCACCTGCCGTGCATGGGGATCTCTGGCATGACTCTTACAGGGAGTGTCGACATTTACATTAGACATTAACCCCCTGCCCTTTTGTCTCCATTGGCACCATAATACTCGCAGCTGTGCTATGCCAAGGCCTGGCCCACTCATTACACTGGTGGTTACTGGCCCAGCTGTGCTAGTTCTGCAGCCCCCCCCTCCAGGAACATTGGGACAGACGCTCCAACTTCCCCTCCTCCTCAGGTAGTGCGGACTTATTGAAGGAGCCTAGAAACCATCTCTCACACACACACACACACACACACCCCTCTCCAAGCAACACCCTGATGGCTTCCTCCTCCTCCTTCCCCTCTCAGGGGCCGCCCGCTCCAGGAGAGTTTCATTAAGCTGGTAGAAGCCTGCAACGACACTTCCCTCAGCATGGACCGCTGGCTGAGCAAGCTGGAGAGCTCCAAATGGCTGGCCCACGTCAAGGGGGCCCTGAGCACCGCCTGCCTGGCCGCCCAGTGCATGGAGAGGTGAGAGGAGGGGGTGGAAGGGGCAGGCACTCCGCTGCTTTGGGGACAGTGTGCTGAGTTGTATCACCTGCTGCTCTGAGCCCGGCTGCCCCTTGCAGGCTCTTGCCAATTCTTTCCCCCTGGAAAAGGTCTTTGTAAAGAGATCAACAGGCTGTATGTGAGCTGGGGTTCCTGGGAGGTACCTGGCCTAGCCCCTGGAGCCCAACTGGGAACAAGGGACACCCTTCTGTTCCCAGTCTTGCCCCTGACTCCCCATGCAGCCTCAGCAGTCACAGCCACTTCCTGGGCCTCAGTTTCCCCATCTGTGTTTAAAAAAAATGTACAGGAGGATTAATGATGGAAGGTACTTACTGAGCATTAGATAAAGCTCCCTGGCTGGCTGCAGAATAACCACAGCTGTCAGCATCCTGGGAGCCTTGATCCACACACAGCGACAGCCTAAGGCATCCGAGCTGTGATTCAAACACTGGCCCTGTCCCCTCCTGCCCCAGGCAGCCCCAGCGGCTCTCTTCAGCCCTGGGGCTCTGTCACTTTCTCACTGGTCGCAAGTTGGGACCCCACCACTCACTGGCCTGCTGGGACCCAGGGCACTTTCTTTCTGGTGACTGCTGCGCTGTGTTTGCCTTCAGGGAAGAGGCCTGCGTCCTGGTGCATGGAGCCGAGGGGACAGATACCACCCTGCTGGTGACCGCTCTGGCCCAGGTGATCCTAGACCCTGACTGCAGGACACTGACTGGCTTCCAGGGGCTGCTGGAACGGGAGTGGATAGAGGTAATCCCCACACAAACCCACCCCCAGACCACCATCCCAAAGCACCTCCGGCCCACGAACCCGAGAGCCGCAATAGAGGGTAGAGCAGCCAGCCCAAATCTCAGAGCAACACCAGTTTGCGAGACCCACGCCAGCTCCCCCCCATCCCTGGTCCTCACCCAAGGGCCCCGCTGTTCTGGGAACAGGCAACTCCTTTGTGTAGTTCACCCCCCCTGTGCCTGGTGCCCACTCATTCCAGCCTTCCCCCACCCCCTCACTGATGGATTCCTTCTGCCCTTGGCTTTGCAGGCAGGACACCCGTTTCACTTCCGCTGTGCCCACTCCGCCTACTCCCATTCCCGGCTCAAGCAGGAGGCTCCCATCTTCCTCCTCTTCCTCGACTGTGTCTGGCAGCTGGGGCGCCAGTTCCCCTTCTCCCTGCAGTTTAACGAGCGCCTCCTGCTGGTGCTGTTTGAACACACGTACGCATCTTGCTACGGGACCTTTCTGTGCAACAGTGAGAAGGAAAGGTGAGTGCCCAGTGATCTGTGAAGGGACAGTTATCCGGAGAGCAGGGACAATACTGATCAAAAGACCTGGGCCTCGGAGATGAGCTAGCAGGACTGTGCCTGCCCCCTCCCAAATCTAGTTTACAATCCCCTGGGGTTCAGGGGGCAGCCCCCACCCAACTGATAAGTGATCTCACATTAGTGTTTTCACTGGGTAAGGTGGGGGAAGGTTATGATCCCTGCCCACTTTTACCTCACCAGTTACTGCCAAATCATCCCGCATGGATCGTTTGTCTGGCTTTGCAAGGCACCAGACCGAAGCAAACAGTGTGTGCCTTTCTCTCTAGCAAGCACTTATCACCTCCCTGCATGTCCTGCTCAGACGAGCCTTGGGAGACTACACACCTGTTAGGGTGGTGGTTCTCAGCCAGGGGTACGCATACTCCTGTGAGTACACAAAGGTCTTCTAGGGAGTACTCAACTCATCTAGATCAGTGTTTCTCAAGCTGGGGGTTACAGGACAGGTTTAGGGGGGTATCAAGTGCAGGGCCAGCATTAGGGGGTGGCATTGAGGGCAATTGCCCTGGGCCTCACGCCACAGGGAGCCCCACAAAGGTAAGCTACATGCCTCAGCCCCGGGCGGTGGGGATTAGGCTTCAGCCAATGCCCACAAGTGGAAAACAGGCTCAAGTACAATATTTATATTCCCGTTGATATTTTTTATAACAAGGGTTCTCAAACTGGGGGTGGGGACCCCTCAGAGGGTCACAAGATTATTACATGGTGGGGGCCACGAGCTGTCAACCTCCTCACCTCCAGCATTTATACTGGTGTTAAATATATTAAACAGTGTGTTTAACTTAGTAGGGGGGGTCGCACTCAGAGGCTTGTGACGTGAAAGGGGTCACCAGTAAAAAAGTTTGAGACCCACTGTTTTATAATGAAATGGTACAAATGAGCCAGCAATTTCTCAGTAACAGTGAGCTGGGACTTGTATTTCTGTGTCTGATTTGGCAAGGAGGGAATTTTAAAGGGAGCTGAACCATGCGCTACACAAGACAGATCAGACTCCTGAAAGGGGCACAGTATTCTGGAAAGATGGAGAACCATTATGCGAGGGGATAGGCCAAAACTTCCAAACCTGGCTACCCGCAGCTAGGCGCCTGGCAGTTGACTAGGACTGGCATGATCTGCAGAGCTGCCAAGCAGGCCCAGCACCTGCTGCAGGCCACAGGGACAGAGCAGCTCCCACGTTACCCGAGTTGGTTAGGGCCAAGCACAGCCAAACCAAATTCCCATTGACAGCCCATTCCCCTCCCCCGTGGGTGCTTTGGTGTCTCCGTCCCCCTAAAGGGACAGGATGAGCATATTCCCTCCCTGCCTTCACTGCTGGCTGTACAGCCCCCCATGGCCCCAGCTGGAGCAAAGCCCCGCTCCAGCACCAGCTTTCTGCTACTCCCACAAAAGGACATTAGCTCCAAATTCACAATGCCCTGCCAGCTCCTGCTTCGCCCGTGGGCAGGAGCATCAACCCAGGCCCATAGCACTGCCCTCGCTGCAGGAGCGGTCATCCCCGTAGGCTGCCAGTGCACTGCAGAACCCCAGGGAACGGACTCAAATGCTGCTGGATGCTCATGCAGGTGCTTGTGTGAAGTGAAGGAGAAAACTCACTCCCTCTGGTCCTGGCTGAACCAACCCAGCGAGTTGAAGAAACACCTGAATCCCCTGTACACATACAATGCCCTGGTCATCTGGCCGTCCGTGGAGCCTCAGAGCCTGCAGCTCTGGCAAGGTAAGTGCTGCTCGGGCATTGGCCTTGAGCCAGCTGCTCCTGAAATACAGGGGTCTCCTAAACCACACTGCAAGGACCCTGCGTTCAATCGGCAGGAAGCTTGACTGCTCCCCTCAGTCACTGCAGGGGAGAGCGTAGGAGCACAGGCTGGGGACAGCTGCTGTTGGGGGCTGAGGGTAGGAGCTGGGGGCTACACATAGTAACACAAACTGCATGCGTCTGGCAGGTTTGTTCCTCCGGTGGATCCGATCCTCTCAGTACTTAGATGAGGCCTGGGCAGAAATCCAGCGACTAGCGACAAACTGTGAAGACGCCCCAGAGGAGAGCGCAGGGTGCACATTGTGCCACTCACAACCAGATGCTGCTTACCCACTGACAATCACAGGGACCGCAAACGAAGGATGAACCAGAACATTTATGGCCGCAACAGAACGGCTGGTGACTCAGGCTTGGCCACATCTCCCATCTATCGCTCAGACTGCTCCAGAGGCAGCGAGGACAGACGCTGCCTCTTAGGGAGTAGGGCTTTGTGCTGGTCACACGGGCCCTGTTGAAGCCAAATACAAATTTGGACAGCAGGCCAGGCTCTGAGCCGAACGCACCAGGATCAGAGGACACGTGGGGCACGCACGGACCCAACCTTGTGGCACAATGCTTTGAGCAGTTACAAAGTACAGACTAGGTTTGTTACAGTAAAATGGTCTCTACTCATGACTTCTCCTCCTTTTGAGTGGGGAATATTCAGGGCCATGTCCACACTGCAATAAAAAACCCGCAGCACTGAGGCTCAGAGCCTCGGTCAGCTGATGCGGGGTCGCAGAGTTTAAAAAAAAAAAAAGATATTCAGCACCAAAACCTTCCTAGTGCGGGAAGCAACTGTTCCATGAGGAAAGTCAGCTCAGGCTCCCTTCCTGCACAAAGCAATGGGGTCATGTGCATGTGTCATCTGGAAACATAGCAGCCAGTAATTGTTTTCTGGCTTGTTCACAGAGTCAGTGATTCTGGGTATTAGTGAAGGGGAGATGCCACTGGACAGTGATGGGTGGGTAGGAGATTTATCCAGGGTAACCAGAGAGAACCAAGCTGAGTTTACCCACAGCCACCGCAAGGACTGAGACGCTTTAACTCATCTGGTTATAAAAGATTTTTATTTACCATTTCCTTTTGAGTTTATTTTCTCACAGACTTATAAATATCTCCAGCAGGGCAGGAAGTTAGTGTCCATAGCAGCCGGGAGCAAACTGGCCCATTCTTCCCTCTGGTCTCACACCACTCAGACTACCTCAGACAAAGCAGCTGATCCTGCCATTCCAGGCTGGTTTCTCTTTTAGGCTCACACCCTCAGCACTCAATCCCAAGAGCTCCATGCTCCATTGGAACAGACCAACTTTAAGCCTGGACAAAACTCCAGGAGAGGAGCCAATGGGGGGGGTTGAAAAAAACAAGTGAAAGTGGGGGGGGGAAAATAAAATAAAGAGGGTGGGGGAAGAAACAAGAGCTGCTTCAAGCTTCAAATTCGAACTCGAAGTACTGTGGGTCGAAGTAATGGATGCGAACGTAACCATCTTCACCGCCACTGCTGTAACTGCATGGGGAGAGAAAGCCAGATGAAACCACTGCCCCACACTGGGACCTCAAGAGTTTGAGGTCAATGACACCCCTTTCTAAAACCCAGGCTAGTAACCCCCACTTCATCTAGTAAAGGATTTTGATATGGGACAACGGTATAATCAGGGGATGTAACCCAGTAAAGATTTTGGGTTAGCAGACCTCAAAGGGTCTCATCTCTATGAGGATGTGGGAGCCAAGAGCTAGTGAGTCTAGGCCTAGGATGGATATTTGCAGAAAGCTATTACCGGATATATAGGATCAGCTGGTAAAGATAGAAGAGACCTATTGGACTCATCTGTCCCCTCTGCTAGGGCAGGTTGTCTCCCATACTAAGATAAATTAAAGTTAATGTTTAAAATCAAAGTTAAGAGGGAAGGTCCTGTACATCTGGGGTCGGGCTTGGGTTATGGGGGATTGCAAGTATCAGCTACAAACATATCACATAACCAGCAGTGATCCGGATTGGGGTGCGGGAGTTTTTAAAGCGTCGGTGAATAAGTGGGCTCGGGTATGCCACCCATGGAATGTATTAAGAGTCCATGTCAGTATTGGTGTAGGGAATAAGTGGGTGGGGTGGGGTGCGTCCCTTGGTTCGTCAGGGAAGGAAGTGGGTTATTTCCCTGGTTGGCGGTCTCGGTTACTCGACCTGATACTGGCGATGTCCCGTGTAGATGTCTCTGGACCACCTACACTAGATCTTAACCAAGAGCCAATACTTCCAAAGAGGCTGGCGGTCCCCCTACAGGGCAGGGAGGGTGTACTAGTTGGCCTTGGGTTCTCTACATCTCAAGAGGAGGGGGATTGGTATTGGAACAGCAGGGATGGTGTGTGTCAGCATGAGAAGTCCATGACGTGACCAAGCTGGGGGTGCTGCAGGTCAGAACTAAGGTCTATTGGCAGAGTGTAGCTGGGTGCTACAGGGGAAGCAGGCAAGGCCTAGTTGTACTGTAGGGGGGAAAATGCATCTAGCACATGCCTGACCCTAGCCAGCATTTCAGTCAGCACCACCACTGGTTTTCAAAAGCCCAGGGAACCCCAGCGAGATCCCTACCTCTTTCCGTCAGGATGGAAAGCAACACTGTTTATTGGACCAAAATGACCCTTGATTCTCCCAAACTCTTCTTCAACACCCAGGTGGAAGAACCTAGGAACAAAGAAGATGGTTTTGGTTATTCCAAGAGGCTCAGAGCTCCAGTTATGTCAGAACAGAGTCTGGCCTGCATTTCACCCAAAAAGTACCAGGAAAGGTGTCTTCAGGCTGCTACAAACACACCCAAATCTCCCTCCACATTGAAGGAACAAGAAGGACCAACCTTGCCTCGAATTTGCCAATCCTGGTAGAGGTTGTGGTCACATCCATGGCTTCTTGTCCACCACCCAATACTACCTGCAAATAGGAAGAAGCCAAACACTCTCAGATGCTGCTCCAGTCACTCTCGCTTGGCGAGAGCCAGGATCTAGAAGCTCAGTATAGCAGCAGAGCAAAGACTAGTGGGAAATGTTCTCCTATCCCAGCTGGTATCAGTGGCTGGAGCAGTACTATTAAAGAGCTCCCATCTTGCCTCCAAGACACATTTGCTAAAAGGGGAGCATTTAATAAGCCATGAACTGGAGGCTTAGCACTCAGTACCACAGTGCAAGAGATGGTGTCAGTTCATGGGCTCTTTGTGCACTAGAAGCGAGGTTGTCACCCGTCCAACGTTCAGTGTCTCAGTTCTGTGTGTTCTCATGTTACCTGTTTTATACACACACTTCCCGATCCAGCCAGAGGCGTGGGAACCCTGTTCAGTCAGGATTTTCAAAGGCGCCTAAGAGAATTCAGCACACAGCTCCCATTGGAATTCAGTGAGTGCTGGGTGCCCAAATCCCTTAGGCTTCTTCAAAACCCCCAGTCTCCATTCTCACACTGCACACTCCAGTCCTGCAATGCTTCTCTCCCCTTAACACTCTCACTCCCTGCAGATGGATGAGTTGGTGGCAGGGGAGGGATATTACAGAAACACCAACTGACCTCTAGCTAATACTGCCTGCCAGTGCTGCGATATCAGAGATGTTTTTAGCTGTTGCCAGCATAAACAACACAGGGCAGGCCAGGCTCATAAGTGCTCTCTGCTCCCCTGACAGACTGAGATGGGGGGCGGTTCCCAGCCGCCTGGTTGCTGCTGCAGATTTCAGCGCTCAGGAAACTGAAATAATCCCCCTCCCCCCCTCCACGTTGCCTTTGTCAGAAGCAACACTGGAGTAAACTATTTTAATTGAGAAGTGTCTTCTTTCAATTCACACCTCCCCTGTACAGGGTGGTGTATAATGGAGCAGTCTGCCACAATCACGTGATGATCACTTCCTGATCTCACCTAACATCTCAGAGGCGACATAAAGGGAATGTAACACCAGGATTTAGAGGGGGGAGAGGGAAGAGGCTTTGGGATGCAATACTAAAGGCGCCATTAAACCCAAACCAGGGGTGCATACAGAGGGAAGATGATGCATGAATGAGCCAGAGACCCTCCACACTTCATGAGGGATGCCTAGAACTAGAATGAAGAGTGCACTGTGGAGAACAGTCCTGCATTAATCCCTGAAGGATGGAGATGACCCAGTCATAGGAGCGAATTACAAGATTCCTAGGATTTGAACCCTGGCCCCCACAACCCCCCCTGGAAAGCCACCCAAAACCTGTCTATGCCTTGCATCCACGCCAATCCCCTCCCTGCACACTACACTCTAAAGTCATATCCTGTCACCCAAACTTTGATAACTGTTCTAGAATCCCTGGAACAACGTGGGGGCCAGGGGAAAAAAAGTCATCTAAGACATGACCGCAGTGAAACTAATGCCACTTGTATCAGTTAGCTTACGTGATCAAAGATGGGGGAAAGAGCTGCAGAGTTGACAGGCCGCTCGGTCCGGAACGACTTCTGATGCTCGAGTGTCGTGGAGTCAAACAGCTAGAAGGCAAGAGGCAAAGCTGGTTATTCTGATGCTGAATGGGAGGAACAGCCGTTTACAAGCAGGCTCCCAACGCTGGGAGCATAGAGTGGAAAGCCAACCCCCTCCTAAAGCCCTGGAGCTCTGCCTCGCCTCCACAGGCGACTCCATCGCCCCTGAAGCAGTTAGTGACAGGAGTGCCAAGGCCCAAACACATCTGAGCACACAACTTGGAGCACACAAGCCCCTCTGCAGCTGGTGCCTGAGACAGCACACTTGAAATCACTGCATCATCTGTGCCTGTTCATCTGGCCAAGGTAAGCCCCCCCACTTTACTGGGCTTGTCCCACTAAGCAGATGTCTACTTTGAGACAGAGAAAACTTGGCTCCATAGTTCCTCATAAGTTTCTAGGGACAAGGAAATAGACATTCAAGGCAGCAATATCTTTTGCGTTTGCTCT